TAACTTGCAAAGGGTTGATAAACCGTACAAAACGAACCAATGAATAAAAGTTAATTTTATACAGATTTTTTGACACAGAATTACTGCCTTTCGTTTAAAAACTGCCACAGTAATTTAAAATTAATCCTTAAATTTTGCATTCTGGTTGAAAAAATATAATCAGGAGCCTGTTTTTAAGTTTTTTCAAATTTCAAAAGTAAATAAAAAATTATTTTTCGAAATTAGTGAAATTAAATTCCTTATATATTATTTCTTACATGTCTATATTTCTGCGATGAGATATTGTAATTATTTACACTATTTACATTGTTCGGACTATAGTTCTCATCTTAGTTTGCCTTATTCACGATGTTTCGGCCGTTGCTCGCTCCGACCTTCTTCAGGTGACGGTAATTTCAATCCGAAACCTTTATTTCGTCCACCATTATTTTCTATAAAATAGAAAATTTAACTATTAATTCAAAATTTTAAAAAAAGAAATGCAGTTATTCCGTGTAAAATTTTGATGCGGACATGAAACTATTTCTCCTTGTAAACTATGTTCAAGATAAAAGTTATAATTATGTAATTATCTACATTTTAATTTTTGCTTTCGTACAATCTCTTCTGCAAACTGATATTGGTGTACAACAAGGTTTTTCCTTCCGCCCAGCGGCTTCAGTGGAACACAAATTACAATGTCGTATTTATTGAGAAATGTCTCCCGGTGAAAAGAGTTGTGAAATATTCCAGGTGAAAAGAGATTCATTCATTATTCAAGATGTTGCTCGTTGTCGATATTTTATCAGGAATATGGTATTACGCTCGGGAGTTTTAGTTCGAGCTGAAGATTCGAGTTCTGGCAAAGTACAGATTTCATGTAGATAATCAGCGAGTCCAAGTTCGACATCTTATAAGTTCAGTCTTTTGCGGTTCTAACCCAACGTGGATCGATATCATTTTAAAAACTAGGTTAGATTAGAGAGGAGGCAACATTTGAAAGAAAACGAATAGTGATAAATACCTCGAACGAAACTGTAGAGGAACAAGAAGTAAAATTAATTTTTTTTAAATTTACTTTTGAAATTCTTATAGATGCGTGACGCAGTCCACTCACCCAGTACCGATCACTTTACATTTTACAGAAAAAAATTAAAACCATCTGGACATATTCTTTCCTATTTTTCCTGACCTCCTCTCGTAGCTCTTCTAGAGCATCACAGTTCTGCCCCTTTGGCAATTAGGATCCTACAGTAGTATCCGTTGATATATTACTTTTGAATCGTCTATTATTAGGAAGCTCCTATTCACAAGAGTTCTTTCTGTTACATCATACTGATTAGGATTCATTTCTTTACTTTCTTCGAGAAGCCTTTTAGATTGACATTCTTAACATTGCTATTGACAATTGAGCTACAGAGGTTTATTCTTAAATTATAGCCGGCATAGATACTTTTTTAGCTTCCCAGAAAGATCAGGTGTAATCATAATCATTTCAATGTTTGGCACCGGATGTTCAGGCGCTATAGCCAACAGGAATCACTTTTCCGACTGTATCAGCGGGATAGTTCCGATCACAACAGACACCTATTTGTGTCTGCTCGTAGTAATTGTAAACGTGTCCTCAAAGAAGCTAAATTTTGTTTGCTGACAGAATGAAGCATCGTAAGATTCTAACAAATTTGGTTCTCGTGATTACTGGTGGATCTGTAATATTGTTTTAAATAAGAGTAAGTCTTCTATCCGTCCTCATTTCACTCAATTTAAGGTGTTAATATCTACTGATTAAGCGGAATGTCTTGCTTGTAAACTCTCTTCAAATTCTACTGACATGAAGTGAAAAGATTATATTGAATCAGTTGCTAGGTCGACTGCTAGGAAGGTTGGTTCATGGTGTCGTGATGGATAAATTTCCTCGTCCGAATCTATTTTACTTATTTATAACATTAACATTCACCCGTACTTTGAATATTGCTGCCACATATGGTCGCGTGCTCCTGCTATATATTTAGAGATCCTTGATGAAATTTTAAGAAGAATCTGCAATGTTATTTGTCTTGATCTGGCATCTTGACTAGTCTCTTTTAAACTGCCGTAACGTAGCTTCCCTGTGCCTTTTTGGTAAATACTTTCATGGTAATTGTTCTGATGAAATTCCCTCAATGGTACCTAGATTTTTTTTATATTTAAGGATAGTGTTAGATTGGCGCCAAGATGTGATAATTTTACGGTTGAAATGTCTAGATGTAACCGTAACTTCTCTGCTAACATTTCTTATCTCCCTTTTCGCTCGTGGAACTCTCCTGGGGTTTTTAGCTTTCTAGTTTCTTTGATCTTCAAAAATGTAAATGCGATGTCACCCGTTATCTTCTGTCTTCTTAATTTCTCTTCTGTTCTTGTTCTCTCCCCTTAATGCTTTTCTTTTTCTTTTATTCTTTCACACTTCTGCATCTTAGTTGCTTTATTGTCTTGCTTGGAGTGAAATTATAAAAAAATTATAAAATTTTCTTGTAAAATATGGCCAACATAAAAATTCTAACAATCAGTTCACTTTCTAGTTTTTTTCTTTGATACAACTGCGCAAACTGATATTGGTGTAAAACAAAACTCTTCTCTTTGCACGGCCCAGACATTCTAGTACGTAACGCAGTCCGCCCAGCCGGTACTGATCACATTTTAAATTAATCGTTAAATTTTGCATTTTTAAAGAAAAAAAAAAAAATAGTCAGAAGTTTAACTAAATTCGGAAAAAATAATTTTCAAAATTTACTTTTGAAATTTTAAATGATACGTGATGCAGTACACCCACTCAGTACCAATCACATTTTGTTATTGTACATTCTAGCACGTGAACAGTAAGAAAGATTTAAGTAAAAGGAAAACAAAAAGAACGCACACTTTACATTTTATTTAAAAAAAATAATGTGCTGATCGGTCGTGTACCTAAAGACAAAAATTTTATTTTTTTTAGATATTTTTAAACTATATTTTAAAATGACTTTCCATATTGTGATGGATATTTTATTTAATGCGGTTGGTTTCTTTTGCATTTATTTTAAATGTTTCATTACAGCGACTAATCTACAGTATATACTTTTAGTATTATCTAGTAATAGTTGTTTTATGTTAAGAGTTATATTTTGGCTGTTAATTGTTGGCCAACATGTGTACGAATTGCACTTATATTACGATAAGTAGTAAATTGACCTCTGACAGAATGTGGTATTTTTACGAGTAACAATTTAATGTTTTTGATTAATAATTTTGGAGATGTAATCTCAAAGTCAACGATAATTCATAAAAATACTGTTAAATGCTTAAAAATGGCTTTGATTGAGTGAAGTCAGACGGTCTTCGGGAAAATCATCCTTCTTTCAACATTGTGGACTGGTGCTACAGATTCGCAAAAAAAAAAAAAAACCCCAAAAAACTGCACCAGTTAACAGAAATCTCATCATTTAAGGACTATTAACACCAGCAACAACTAAAATGGATAGCACATACGTCACAATAATTCAAATAAAAGGTTAGGTTGGACCCCCCCCAATCAATACTGGAAAGAGCGATAACAGCTACTGGACTTGAGAAACCTATTTTCCAGAAACATTGTTTTAAGAGAAAGATTTGATAAATTTCAGCCGACAAAAGTACTGACTACTCGGTCAATAAATGCCAAATGTTTCCTTGTAGGGAAACGGCTAATATTACCATTATCATTACGATATAAAAATATAGAATTAAATTATTAAAAAAATAATATTATATATTTAATAATACATACGCACGAGATATACTTTAATGAAAATATTTTCAAAATATCCTGCAGCGTCTCACTAATCTTTACATATTTTAGCATCCAGAGTGTTTTCTTGCACTTATTTGAATAGTATCTGTTACTTTACTCGTGACATGTATCCAATCAAAACATTCTACTGCGTCCTATGAACTTTTACACAATTTAGTGTTGAGAATTTTTGCCATACATATTTAAATATTATCCGTTACTTCATTACACGTGACACATATCTAACCAATAAGAAATAGACAAAAACATCATACCATTAATTTGTATCTCTTTGCTTTTTATCATTTCCACCTTTATCTCTGACGAAGCTTTAATAAAGTGAAACATGTTAGATTAAGATTCTATCTATCTATCTATCTATCTATCCATCTATCTATCTATCTATCTATCTATCTATCTATCTATCTATCTATCTATTTCATTGAATAATGTAGACATATTGTCTATTTGTTTTTATACTAATCCTTTCCAGTCGTCTAATCAGCTGATGTTGAGATGAAATTCATCAAGAAGGCGTCATGTTTTTTTTAAAAAAGTACCTTCGACGTTTTCTAAGATCATTTTCATGAAACTTGATCGACAAACTGATTTCTTACAAAGAATACATATTCTATTCATACGAATCCATTGATGCTGATATGCCGTAAAACAAAATAAACTAACAGACCATAGACTTACATAAAGAAGCTACTTCAATGTTGACGTCCGTGTATCTTAAGCTATAGATGAAAAAGAAAGGAAAATGTATCGTCAAAAAAAGATTTGAATATGTTATTTTATACTGCATCCAAGAATTCCACCAATTCTGTCAATTCTGTTAGTTTAGACAGACTGGAATATCTTTTTCTTCTATTTATCAGACTCGGGCATGAAATTTTAAGCAAACATTTAAACAGCTGGAATACTAATTACTGTGTAAGAACGAAACAAGAAGAGAACTGATTAAAATCCTAAGTTGGTTATTAAAAATTCGTGTAGATATGAAGAATGTGCAGATAGGAATCAACACAGCATAGTAACTGCGAGTTTCACAACTCAGTGTGAAATCTTAGAATCTTAGATCATTCCTGGACCTTGAATAATTTATTTATATATAGAGATATAGAGTTACGCCTCATAAAATATTAAACACCCAAACATTGTCATTCAAATTTGACCAGACATCTTTGATGAATTCTCGTTGGTTTGAAGATTGTATTGATGTGATCAATATAGCATGGTGACACCATGCTATATTGATTCCTATTTCTATCTATCTATCTATCTATCTATCTATCTATCTATCTATCTATCTATCTATCTATTCGTTCACATAAATTTTCACGAGGAACGGCTTCCCTCCATGTATCGCAAACACGTGTATATTAATCACACCCACGGATAAACCAAATCCTCACAACCCCGGGCAATATTCTTCTGACCCTTTTATGCTGCTAAAACACGCGGACATATCCACAAGGTTAACGCCGCTTCTATCAACAACACAATGCAAGACACCATAGCAGAAAGAAAGAAAGAAAGAAAGAAAGAAAGAAAGCAAGAAGTAAGTAAGTAAGTAAGGAAGGAAGGTAGGCAGGTAGGTAGGTAGGTAGGTAGGTAGGTAGGTAGGTAGGTAGGTTGGTTGGTTGGTTTTAGTTAGTTTTCCTCCTCACTACCAACTTTTTTACAACCTTGTGGATTTGTTACTAGATCCTTCTAAACCGGGTCGCCGAAGACAACATCCACCCATCCCCCCTTTGGTAGAGATCGTGCCACCTGTTTCGATCCAGCCTACAACTGGCAACTGGATGACAGCAGCCAGCGTCTATAAACCGGTCATGTCTCATCATTATAACACTGTTTTTCTATGTTTGTTGTCTGAGAAAACAGGGCCCCGACAGGTTTTCGCCCCCGCCTTAGTCGTTCTAATGGCCGAAATCTTGAATCACGAAAAAACTTAACATCCTTCTCGGATTTCCGGCAATCATTCACAAATGTGAACATGTCGACCTCGTTTCTATTATTCCAGCATTCCGGTTTTGTCATTCTTATGAATTTTCAAGAAAAATCTCTCAGATTTAACAGCCGCGATTTTCGAAACATAGCAGAGATGCGGCACAAGGGCCGAAAGTATGGGCCACTCAGTGAGGATCGAACTGACATACTGAGACAAGCTTGCTAACCAATGATTATGACCGTCTCATAGCTATCATTTTTTACTTCTCCGTTTCTTCTTCTTTTTTCATTATTCTTATTTATTATCCGAATTTACTATAACGATTGACATTAAATAAAATAACTGGTGAACCTCTAAGTGTAGCTTAGATCTGGTACAAGGGCCGAAAGTATGGGGAACCCAGTGAGGATCAAACTCTCTATTCAGTTGTAATTGATCTAGCAAGACAAAATAACTAACCACTATAACAGATCGAAATGCCCTTTTAAATGACTTTCTAAGCGTAGCTTAGATGTGACACAAGGCCGAAAGTGTGGAGATCGAACTCACTACTTAGTCGTAATTGATCTAGCGAGACAAGATTACTAACCATTACAGCATGTCGAACTCATATGTGTGACATTTACAGTCACACACATAGGCACACACAAACACACATATACGCACGCATAAACACACACTCACATCTATGCACATACAAATAATATCTACGGTTATGCATCAGTAAGTTCGTAGTAAAACACGTAGTTGAGTTCTTAGCTACATTTATAAAATATAATATTCGATTTATGCCATTAATATTCACTCTTGAATTAAGTGCATTATCAAAGAAGATGGTTCGGCACGAGGTTCGTAACCCATTAGGGATGCCACACATACTGTAGCCGCAGTAGAAGTTGTGTTTCCTAGGCAAGATAGCCTAATGGAGACCAACCCTTCCAGCTTGGTTTTGAATACCATTTTTTCCCTCTCATAGTCCGGTTACCATCCAAGGCTGTAGAATCCGCCCGTATTCCATCAGTGAGAAGCTAATACCACTCGAGCAGTTTCTTCCCACGAACCACTGCTCTGTTGAACCGTCTGTTTCTCCGATCATTACCTGTTCAAGTCTAATGTTAACCGTTAGCTTGCCGAACTATCCGCATGAACTTTGTATCTAGAGTGGCTTCCGAGCCTTGTACAATGTGAACCTTACTATAAAAAAAGAGGATCCAGTCCCTCCTTAAGGATAGTCTGTCTCGGGCGGAGGCTGAGTGGGGGGATTCCCTGGAGATAGGTTTAGCAGGGCAGGCTCTGGAGCCTGAGGCTAGCAAGCGATACCAGAATCGGTTAGTTAGACATAACTAAGCGATGAGGCGCAGAATTGCGCAAAGAAGAGATTTGTTAAGATTCCGATCGATACATTTGGGAAGGCGATACCCGGGAAGTATGCCCTCTGAGGCCGACCAAAGACATGTGCGAGGCGTTTTGGTGGCATTTCAAGAGGCGTTTTACCAAGGAGGCTGGTCACTGTGGCGACGAGTTTCGCAGCTATTTGGATGACTTTTTTCGGCTTGAGCCGACTCAAGCGGCTAACTGCGAGAGTGAGAGCACAGAAGACGAAGTTCACTTGGCATTATTGAAGAGGGTCGGCAGAGGCAAGTCTGGTTCCGTCTCCGACCGGATCTCAAGTTGAAACCCGGGTAGTGTTGAGGGTGAATTTTTTCAGTTTTTTAATATTATTATCAGCTCTGCACGTTCAATACTTTTGGAAGTGTGTATTGAGCACCTTGTTTATTTATCCATCCCTGGGTCTCTCTCCGGTCTGACCTAATGCTTTTTCATATTCTTATATATATGCTGAGTGTAACAGCAAAATTGTCCAAATCGTGTAACTGCATTATTGTTCATCCCACAAAATGCTTAATATCTAAAAAAAAAAAACACTAAATTAATTGAGTTTCTTTTTTCCAGGTTTTTAGATAAGACGCCTAGCCATCTTGACACCAATTATCAGAAGAATCACTGAAAAACTCTTTGAGTTATTCAACTAGAAAGAAAGCAGGTTAAATCGTTTTGTATCAGCCCAATTACCTTCCTGACTGATGGGAAAATCCTGATAGGAAAAAGATCATTCATGCCTTCAGTAATGGTACCAACATTCATATTCTGGTTTCCATCTTCAAAGAACTATCAAGCGAACGGTGAATAAGTTTAAAAAGAGGGAACAGTCGATAGGAAACTGTATCAAGAGGTCACAACAGAAAGAGGGATTATCATTTCAATTAGAGCTAAACATATCAATTAAAAAAGATCCAACTCAATCCATTAGACGTTCGGAACATGAGAGAGGAGTTTCACCTATCCAAAGAGCATTGAAAAAAGACTTGAAAATGAAATCGTACGTGAAACCTGTGAGGCATCTTGTTACACCAGAATAGAAAGTTAGAAGTTTAGAGAGGGCGAAGATCATCTTTTATGGGTTGGAAAATGATTCTGAAATAACATATATTTATAATTGAACATTATTTCATTTTTTCATGGGTTTCCGATCCCTATCTATGATTAATTAATGATGAACATGTCATTTTCGTTTATGATCGTTTTCATCACCATTCTTCTGTTAAGCTTTATTAATAATTATATATTCTTATTGCTCAATGTCGTCCAGTAGTGTTATAAGAGCCTCCCAGTAAGACATCTTTAGTTATTTCTAAGATACATCTTTAGTTATTTCTAAGATACAACGGTTCAAAGCTTAATCTAACAATTGGAAAATTTTGCTGTTACACCGGGTATATACACGACGAACGTAAGATGATTGGAGGCAAAATATCTAAGAAATATGTTGGTACATGTTTCGGGATTTCTATTCCCTTCATCAGGCAAAAATCAAATGCAGATGCACTATATAGATTCGTAACGGACAATAATTCAAAATTCTTGGAAGGAGAAATATAATTCAATAATTCGTAAACAAAAATGTAATCTTGATTGTTTCTCTATCATCGACAGCACGGCTACACCATACATTTTGGCTATTAAATGTTTGAAGATCATGGATAAAAAATTAATGGCTCGTATTTCCGTCTGCGGTTCTCTACTCAAACACAAGAAATTGGTACAGACAAGTAGATATTGGCTCAGCATGGGTGAGATATCCAACTACACGCACCGTACTCATTTGAACTTGCACCTTCGGATTACCACTTATTTCGATGCCTACAAAATTCTCTTAACCGGAAGAATTTTAATTTTCTGGAAGCCTGTAAAAATACTTAAACCAGTTTCCATTCATTGGTATCTTCACACCAATTTCAGGAATGATGCTATCATGAAACTGCTTCATGATGGCGAAAGTTTATTGCGACGATATGGCTATTTTAAGGTTGAATAAATCTATGTACAATATCTATTGTCTTTGCAATTCACTTATAAAAACCCAGCATCTATCTATCTATCTATCTATCTATCTATCTATCTATCTATCTATCTATCTATCTTCAATATCTATTTATCTACCTCGCTTCATTATCTATCTGTATTTCATTATTATCTATTTATATTTCATTATCTATCTATGTCATATTTTGTAATTTTGAGATGAATTATTAACATTCTAAATGTTGTTTAGATAGTTAATCTCATTGCTTTTATTGTTTCTGTTATGTTAGAGTTAATGACCTTTGTTTCACACGTGACTGAAATCGCTGATAATCTGAGCAAAATGCCTCATCACTGTTATTTCACGATAATCAAGAAAGAAAAGAATTAGCAAGTTTCTTCTCTGGTACCTCGATTTTACGAATTTAAAAGTGGTACTAGATTGGCAGCTAGATCTTTTAAGAAAGAAAAGAATTAGCAAGTTTCTTCTCTGGTACCTCGATTTTACGAATTTAAAAGTGGTACTAGATTGGCAGCTGGATCCTTTAAGAAAGAAAAGAATTGGCAAGTTTCTTTTCTGGTACCTCGATTTTACGAATTTAAAAGTGGTACTAGATTGGAAGCTAGATCCATTAAGAAAGAAAAGAATTAGCAAGTTTCTTCTCTGGTACCTCATTTTTTACGAATTTAAAAAGAAGATTGGCAGCTAGATCCTTTAAGAAAGAAAAGAATTAGCAAGTTTCTTCTCTGGTACCTCGATTTTACGAATTTAAAAGTGGTACTAGATTGGCAGCTAGATCCTTTAAGAAAGAAAAGAATTAGCAAGTTTCTTCTCTGGTACCTCGATTTTACGAATTTAAAAGTGGTACTAGATTGGCAGCTAGATCCTTTAATTTCACTGTTGAAAAGTTAAATGCAATGTCAATCGTCATCTTCTGTACCTGTAATCTCTGTTCTTTTATTGTCCTTTGGCCTAAATAATGATTTTTCTTAGATTATTTTACACTTAGTAACCACTTGCGTCTTAGTGGCTTTCTCGCTGTGTCCGGAGTGAACAGTGAAAAAAAAGAAAAGAAAAACTGACTCGTTGCAAACCACTCCCCAATAAGTAACTTAGTTGTAAATGAAGTTATTCTGTAGGATTTCCTTTTCTTCCTCGTTCTGCAGCAATCTACACTTACTTTTGTGGTTTGATAGATTTATGAAATATAGACCATCATTTTTGTATTTTTTGTTACGATAACTTTTTTGTTGTTGTTATATATTTAAATTCACCATTTTATGGCGCCTAGTATTATTTCTTATCCTTCCTCTTCCTTCCACTTTTGATTTTAATATATTTGTATATATTATATGAATATATGCTTTTAAAATGTCAGTTTTGAAAGCCATGAGATTTGGTAACTTCCACGTATTATTTTCTACATTTCCTGATGATGACCATTAGGTTCAGCTGGCTTCTCCTTTACATTTTTTTTTTTCGTAAAATATTATCCATGCAAATGTTCCACATCCACCTTTCTCGATTTATGCCCTGGGGAAAGAAATTGGTCGAAAAGTTATCGTAACAAAAAAATACAAAAATAACGGTTATTAGTCTTCGCTTTTCAGAGGATAAAGCAGATACATTTTTGTTTCTTTTTATTTCTTTTTATTTTAGTCGTGCACACATATATATATATATCTTGTCCTCGATTCTGCTCTGAAGTGCGATGATCGATAACTATTCATTTTTAATTTTGGTTTATTGTTTCAGTAAGATGATTGTTTTCCTCTTTAAATACAGCGTTCAATAAGGTAGAAATCGGCGAGAGACATGTTTATCTAACTATTTATTCGGTGGGGGGATTATTACGGAACTGTAATAGGAGTAGCTAGGTTTTCCTATCGTCCGGTACACACAACTCTCCGTTCTTTTGAACGGAAGTAGAGGTTTGTCCCTTGTTTCCAGTTTAGGATTGGGTTTCCGGTTCCTTCAAAAGTCTACTTCAACACAATATTTCTAACATCTCCGCCTAAACTCTGAAATTCTATTTATTATTTATTTATTTTTTTATTTTCTTTCCTCAGCAGTATTAGATAGGTTTGCCTATAGCCCAGTTTGCATTGCTCCGCGTTCTATTGAACAGGAGTAGAGTTTTAGCTCTTGTTTTCTCTTTAGGATTGAGTTTCTGTTCACTACTAAAGTCTTCCCGTTCTCTTTCACTCCCAGTAATCCCTTGCGTCTTAGTGGCTTGAATTCTTATTCTATTAAGATTAAACAGTGCATATTCTCAATATCTTGAACAGGAGTAGAGGTTTATCCCTGTTGTCCTATTTTATGATTTGGATTTCCGGTTCCTTATAGATTCTACTTCAACTTTATACGTCTAAAGTCTGCGTCTAAATTCTGAAATCTATATTATTACTAGACTTTCTGTGACCCGTTGAGTCACTGACGATTCAGTTTATAGAACATTGAAGTTGATTTAAAATATTCCATTGAAATGAAAGTTAATTTTATTATGATTCAGTTAAATATTTTAATATCATTCGTGTCATCATTGGTTTGGTTTTCAAGTTCATGAAGCGAAAACTTTACACGACATATCAAAATCACGGTTGAAATATTTTAATAATTGTTTACAGTATTTAATAGGAATATGTCTTCCGGGATAAACTTCTAATTTTTTAAATGTGTCAAAAAATATATTTTTTAAATATGTAAAATATTGTTTGTTTAAAGATAGCTGGAGTGAAAATAATTACTCAACAAACAACTGGACAAAACAGCAAAGCAGCATCTCTCTGTGTCTGTCTTTAAATTAAAAATATTTTAATAAAAGAAATTGTCTGTTTCAAGAAAGTTAAAATAAAAATATAATTAATCCATGACATGACTACTGAAAAATTCCCTCACAAACAAAAACGACATTTGAGGCAACAGAATTGTGGTTCTACAAAAGGATGCTAAGAATACCATGGACTGAAAATTTTAGAGAAAATAGGAACAAAAAGTATAACATCAGGAATAGACAGATGAAATATCTAGGGAACCTAACGAAGAAAGAGTGCTTGGTAAGTCTGATACTCACAGGGCAGATTGAAGACAAGGGGAACAGAGGAAAATAACAAAATTAGTGTGCTTGAGTAAATGGATGGCGGAACAGAGTTTAGGAGAAATAACAGAAAGACACATTTTATTAAGAGCTATAATAGACAAGAAGTTGTGGGGAGCTATGATCGCTTACGTCCTGAGGGAATATGTCACATAAAGAAGAATTTTGGTATATTTTCTTGGCAACAAAGAAAAGAGTACTGAGCTGTTACGTGACATCTGTCTTCCTATATAGCAGTGAATGCTGGACAATCTCCACAAAGATGAAGAGGAGACTTGAAGCAACGAAAATATGGTTCTACAGAAGGATGCTGAGGATACTATGGAACATCTGAGTAAGAACAAAGTTTCAAAAAAAAAAACGGAAACGAAAAGGAAATCTATTTAACGCCAGGAAGTGGCAGTTGAGGTTTAAAAGGAACATAGTATGAACAGAAAAGGACAGATTGAAGGCAATAGAAAAGTGAAAACAATGCATAAAATAAATAGCGAGCTTTAGTAAACGGATTGCGGAACAGGGTTTATGAGATATAAGAGAAAGACAAAGTTTATTAAGAGCTAGAAAGAACAGGAAGTTGTGGAGGGCCATGATCAGCTACGTCTTGAGGAGTCATGGCACATAAAGAAGAAGGTTCAACTACATAAAAAAGCGAAAACTTTACACGACATATCAAAATCACGGTTGAAATATTGTAACTCATAACTATTTTCTTCAAGCACCCGTTTTTTTAATACATCAAACGGACTTGGATAACGGGAAATGTTAGTTCTGTCTATTAAATAAAAGCACATTTAAAAATATATAATTTCCGGCATTGAATTTAGTGAAGAGGATGTGCGGTTAGCATAAAAGTTAATAAAAAATGGAAACGGTTTGCCAACTTTAAATCCTCACTTTGTCTGTTGCGTTCATTTCAACCCAAGTAGATTTTGGAAAGGTAAAAACCAACCTCCTCTCCTCTCACTTCGGGTTGAATAACAATGTAGACGAGATAACACTGAATTCTAAACATTGCGGAAGGCAACGGGAAACCACTCCACTATCTTTCCCAATAAGTTATGGCATTCGCAGATAATAAAGAAAAACCGTGGTCGCCTACGCCCTGAAGGGACATAGCAATTAAAATTATCAAAAAATTATTGGAACATATAATAATCATTTTATTCCATTATATTCTGCTTTCTTGCAAGCAAAATCATGATTTTATCCTCCCAGAACGTTTTTCTCTTTTTCCACAACGGACACAGAATAAAAGTTATGATCAGTTTAGAAACGAGGCTTGTTTAGAAAGTGAAAAAAGCTACTGGTTATGGGAAACAGAAGGGAAGAAACGAGAGCTCGAGTTCACAAAGAAGAAGGAGGCAAAGGCGAGGAAGAAAGCAAAGAAGAAGAAGAAGAAGAAGAAGAAGAAGAAGGCAAAGAAGAAAGCAAAGAAGAAGAAGAAGAAGAAGAAGAAGGTGAAGAAGAAAAAGAAAAAGACGTGTTTGTAGTCCAAAATCATCTTGGTTCCTTCTTTATATTATATACACTTGGACTAACGTCCTAATTTTTGCTGTTGTTATCACAACGTTTCGGCCACTCTGCACTCCGGTCTTCATCAGGTGTCTATCGATCCGATTAACCTTGAAGGTATTTCTAACTGAACTATTTATTTAATTCAAGTGGCTAGATTTTTCTCGCTCTGCTCTCCATGTCTACAGATGTGCCTTCTTATTCTTTTTAGTACTGCTCGATTATTGCTTGCCCTGTTTTCACTGAGTCTAAGACTGTACTACGCGTCCCAGGGATTGAACTTACAACCACTACGTTACACGATTCATCCCTTTAATCCACTAGGCTATCCGTTTAGGCCTTGTTGAATATATTACACATTTATCTAATATTTTAGATGTTAATTAAAATAATCTTAGACTAAGTAATACTAAATTTAATACTTTTAACGTCGTAAAGTTGGGAGGATAATTAGTTTGTCTGCTTCAAGGTCCAAATTCTTAAGAAATTATATTTCGTCAAACTTAATCTGGATTGATATCTACGTAATATAAATGACTCGATATTGTGTTTCGACTTTCGGCGTAGAAACTGGAAAAGAGCAAACCAAGTTCAATTCCAAG